CACTTGGTAGCCCAGGCTGGCCTCGAACTCACAGAGATCCGCCTGCCTCTGCCTCCCGAGTGCTGGGATTAAAGGCGTGCGCCACCACCGCCCGGCCAGAGAAGGTTTAACATGGGAAGCTAATGATGAACTTGGCTTAGGAAGGAAGGGAGGGGGATTTAGATTCAGAGTGTGCAGGCAGTAAACTCCCAACCTCACCTATCTCCCCAACTCTGCCTGCCTGTAGAGAGAGTGCATTTCCACCCTCTGTGAGAGTCACAGGAGCCTCTCCTGCAGGCTAATACCAGCCCTGCCCATCCTGGCCCTGAGTCTGTTCCAAGCTCCTGTGAGGGAGGCATCTGCCCGCCCACCCAGGGCCTCTCCTGCAGGGTCAGCCTGCTCTGGGAATTCACCTCCCTGCTTTCTCCTGGAGGGCCCAGTCTCAGAACTTCCCAGGGGCCAGCAAGTGATAAGCACTCAGCATGTGGCCCTGCTGATGAGCTTCACTCTCCTGCCAGTGCTGTGGGCCTGATAGCAATAAGGGAAGCTAGTAGACAGAACAAGAAACATTTACATAGACATAAGTGCCAGAAGGGCCTGTAGTGAAAAGGTTGATTCCCACCTTGATCAAGGGGAACAGTAGCTCTTGTGGGAAGGGCAATCTAACCAGGATCAGGAGTTTCTCCTCTCTGCCTCTGTGTACCTTCACAGCTGGTGCTCCCCCTAGGGCAGGGTTTGTGGGAACCATGGGGAGCTCTTCCTTGGCCAGCATCAAAGGTTCCCTCAGGAGGCCAAGTAAACATTGTAAGAGGCCCATTCTGAACCACAAAAGGTGACAAACTTCCCTTGGTGAATCCATCATTCTATTGTGAGCAGTGGATCACACATCCTTCCAGTATGCTAGGTGAAAGTCCAGGGAGGAAGAGGGAGACTGTCCCATGGCATCCATCTTAGTCAAGTCAACAATGAGAGCAATGAACACATTACACACAAGACCAAGGGCACACACAAAACTTTGTCTCAAGAGACAACCAACAAAGTTCCAAGAACAATGACAGCTTGATGTGCTCTGGAGGGAGCGACCCCCCAGGCTCAGTCACACCAAAAACCTTCCAGACTCGAGGCTCTCTGTCCTCAGTTAATCAGATCTCAGGGACTACCATAGCCCATTAACAGGGTCCAGAATTTCTTCTGGAACCCTGTGATCCTGGTTCCAGTGCGTCCTCTGGCTGCCACTGGCATTGACCATTGATGGACCTTTTCACAGATCTAGTGTGCTTCAGAAAATGAATGTACAGAGTCACACAAAGACAAGGACAAACAAAGACACACAGAAACTTACTGGCCCCTTAGGAAACCTTCAGATCAGGATCCAGGATGAACCCCCAAATGTTGTGCCCACATCGCAAGACCCCTGAGCAAGACTACCACAGAGCTGATATCCAATGCAAGCACACAGGGCCTTATTAATAGCAAAGTAAGCCCGGGCTTGGTCTGTGTCCGACACTTAACACAGCGGGTAGAGGAGGGCGGCCCTGAACACTCACTTTAAGGGGTTTATATAGGAAAAGATTTATGTGCAGAGGGTTACATATCTCCGGATTTGATGAGGGGGCTAGGGGTGAGGTAGTTCTTTGAAGTTACTGGCTGAACTATAAGGTAACTATGAGGTTACTAATGGCTAACAGGATGCAGGGTATCTACAGAGACATAAATTTTACTCCCTATGTCCTGTTTTTGCTGAGCCCAGGATATATACATTCAGATTTATTGCTTCAGAGATGGACACAGACCCCACCTCCTCCCAGTCTGTTCTGTTCCCCCACCCCCATCTTTCTCTCTTTCTCTCTCTCTCCTTCCCCAGGCCTGGTTCTCTTGTCCCCTTCTAACCCTCTTCCTCCTAATAAAGCTCTGACACTGATACTAGGGTTTGTCGTGGGCATGACCTTTCCTCACAGTCACCAGCGCAGATTATCATTATTACAACCTTCAGGACCAAAAGTGACCCGGATGGAAGACAGAGGAGGCACAACTTGAGAAGCCTCACAGTAAGATTACAATAAAATCTGTTTTCCTGGACACAAACTGTTTTCCTCCTTTCTCTTCTGCATCACAGTTCTTATTTTAAAATTCATAAACTCACTCAAACATATGCTTTTGTTATTTCTCAGCCATGAGCCACTAAGCCATTTTACATGCGAATGTTTACGAAACCACGTGGGCAGGTGAATGATAAGGGTGAAGTCCCGCTGATCCAAGCTCCCTGTCCATGCTGAGTCACAGGAATGCCAAACTGATGACCTGATACAAAATCAACATAGTTAGGTACTGCTTCCTCACTGGGATAAACAGAGCCAGTTCTGTGGAAGAGAAGTCAACTCTAATCTAGCTGTCTGTGGAATTGACTTGACTAGGGTCCCTGTCCCATACCAGCAGCTGTGTGCTTTTGAGAAAGAGACTATCTGGTTGTCATTTTAATTTTCTCCTCTTTGCAATAAATCAGCACTATCTGGTGGCCTCCCAGAGGGCCAAATGGGATTTCTGCTAAGGTAAGAGGATGTGAGGCTAGGTCAGTGAGATGAGGCAAGGTGAGACAGAACAAGAACTATGGGATGGTAGGTGTGCAGCTCTGACCACAAGGCCTCCCTCTGTAACTTATGAGCAGACCACGGAGGCCTGAGTGTCCCACTTGTCCTGTGCTGAGCTGTAAGTCTGATATGTGCAGACCCCAGTGTTGTGAGGCTCCACAATATCTGTCCCTTTGAGACACTGCAGACCTTTGAGACACTGCACACCCACCAAAGCCACATCCCACCAGAAAATGCCAGCCTCCAAATAGAGCCACATGCAACACATCCAATCATTAATGGCATGTGAGGCTTAAGCCCGCCCCTAAAGCACTCCGGCCCAATGAGCATCCGGGCAGAGACTCTAAACCTCCCCTATTCCACCTTGGTCTTCCTGCCTGGGACATTGAGCATGCTCAGACTTGAGGTCGTTAAGGAACTGCTGAGGAGGTGCTGAGCCGTTGTGGAGGACGTCTGTGGAGTTCATCTGGTGAGGGCAGTCCCAGGCCAGGGTGGCCAGGCTCATGGTCTCCTCAGTGTCTGGACTTCCTCACAGCTCTGGTTTTTGAGAGGCTGAGGTGAAGACAAACCTGCCTTCTTGACAGCAATCTCCTCTAAGACCAGGTCTAGTGAGGCCCTCTTCTCAGAGCCTGGAGACTCCTCACAGCCCAGTTCTTATGAGGCTGAGATGCCCTCAGTGAAGATCTAGGATGGCAGGATGCAGTTCTGAAAAAAATTATAGGCTCTCATCCAGATTATTATGGGCTTAACGTTTTCAATATTTCTTTACTTCATCTTAGTACCTGTGGGATCTGCAATATCCCCTTTCTCATTCCTTATGTGAGTAACTTTAATAATCTAATTTTTCTTTGCTAGTGTGCCTAGAGATTTATCAGTGTTGTATAGATATACGTCTTTTTCTTACCTCTTGTCATGTTTATTTTCAATTGATTGAATTTTAAAAATTGACTAGAGGCTTCTTAATGACTTTGTTTTTAGTATTTATAGAAAATTTATGTCATAGATTACAAATCTACTTAAGTCAGGTGTTAAGTATTTCATGTCTATAATCCAAGCCCTTGGGATCAGGAAACCATGAGTTTGAGAACAGTGTGGGTTACACACGTAACTCTGAATACACTGCTACAGAGTGAGATCTTATTGTAGAACATACAAACAAAATCCAAATGTATTCACTTTCATATGAAATCATTTAATGTTTTAGTTTTTTCTAATCATGGTTTAGCACTCTAATCCCACTCCTCTCCCAGACCCTCTATATCTGCCCCTACATCTTGTAGAGTCCCACCACAAAGGAAAACAAAAAAGGAATAAAAATAAGATAAAAATAAACAATAATAATAAAAAAGAAAACAGTAAAGCACTTTTCTCCCCCAGCCCCTATCTTTCCCACCTCTCCATCACCGCTCCATCATCTCTCCATCATCATAATGGCATTGGCAGCTGCTGTGTATCATGCAGGTCTAGTATTGATGGTGTACTGAAGCCAGGGGCCTTGAACCTGACCAACATCCCATTACACAACGAACATTTGCAAGTGAAGCTGTTGGACTTTCCCTCCTTTTGTTCTGTTGACTCCCATCTCCTACTTCAATTGTGGATTTGTCAGTTTCCATCCACTTTCTCATCCAGGTTGGAGCATTCGTAGTTAAATAATTTTCTAGTGGAGTGTTCTGTCTGCCTGGAAAATTGATCCCTTTTCACCACACACATGTATATTACAATATTTGTGTTATTTAGAATAGATACTTTTCCTAGTAAAACTTACTGTTCAGCAGTTTACTTTGGTAGCAGCATGGGTACCGGGGCATTTTTAAGAATTCTGCCTTTTCCTGCCTCATTACTCTGACACTCTGCCCATACATTTGTTTTCTATTCATCATTGAGTGAAATCCTGTGTGGTTGTTTATCTCCTCTGGTGATTTCTCCCATCTAGAACTTTTTGTTTAATGCAGTTACATGATTAGTTTGAGTTTTCTATCTTGATTGTTTTAAGTTCACTGTTTCTGTCCAAAATGTCTTTTGTGTCTGGTTTTGGGTTCAGTTTATCATTCTATTTATGCCCTTACCTAGCTTGTTATTCAGACATCTTTTAAAAAAATTAGTAGCTGCTTTTCAGGCACTGAAAGCCTCAGAGCTACTAAACTCAGAGCTCCTTCCTTGCTAAAAGTGGCAGAAAGCTACCAGACCTCTGGAGCTCATCCATTGTGTGTTATATCAGCTGAGCCAAATAATAGTTTATATTTTACAGATTATTTGTGCCAAATTTTCTGTCTTTTGTTATGGTGGAATTCAAGACTTTTGTAAACCTCTCTTAGTTAAATACACATGATGAATGACAATATGGTGATGGAACACTGTGCCTTGTAGTGACTAAAACTTATGAAATGCAAAGAAATCCCTTATAAAGTTTAAATTTTATGCAGATTTATTTGCATCAACTCTGTACAACTCAGGTGTCTTTCATGATCCAATTATTTTATATTTCCCTGGCACTGTCTTTTTATGGATCTGGGTTCCAGAATGACCTTATAGTCCTTACATTCTCTTTGGTCACAATCCTTTATTCTTACAACTGAGAGTAGGAGAATGAACTGACGTCATGTACTGCATGGCTGCAAGCCTCTCTGCCTCCCTGGGTCCATAAAATGAACCGAGAAATTATGAAGCAATGATTTGAAAATTGCACATATGTGATTAGACATGTAGGTATGTACACATGAGTGCAGTTTCCACAGTGATGAGAAGAGGCTCCAGATTCCCTGGAACTAGAGATATTGGTGTTTGATTTTGGGTCATGGTAATGGGTGATGGGAACTGAACTCAAGTCCTTTGAAAGAGTACAGTGTGCGTTTTTCTGTTAGGCCAACTCTAGCCCCATCATTCAAAAACCTTAAGAGAAGTTTGGAAGATAGTAAAAATGTAGTCATTATGTTTAGTTGTATAAAAATATATGAGCCCTTGTGCAAATAAGTAATTCTTTTTCTGTTTTGTTACTTCTAAAATCAATCTTATTATTCTGTACATTTTAATTATATACAATAAGTCATTTGTTTCTGTACACCACCTTGTTTCCCAGTTATACTCCCTCCTCCCTCCATTTAGAATATTTCCCCTCACACTGCAAAATTTTTTAACCCTCTTTTTTATTTTTCTAGATTCCATTTATCAGAGAAGATATGTATTAATTGTTTTTGGAGAGTTGTCTGTTTCTAAACTTGATGATACATAGTTGGAACAATTTTCTTGAGAATTATGCAACTTTTTTCTATAATTTTATTTTGAATTATCTTGCTTTATTTATGCATATTGTGTGGTCTTTAGTCATTCATATAATGGTGGTCCTCTGAGCTCATTCCCTGAATCATCTATTGCAGGTAGTACAGTGATAAAAAATTACACACAAACTCACCTTACATATGTAGTGATTCAGTGTCATTCATTTCGATATGTATGCACACCCAGGAGTGGTTCAACAGGCATGTCTATGTTAAATTTTCATTCATAACCATCGTTACAGCATCCACAGTACCTGGAATGTTTTAGTTTACAATGAACATAGCATATATGTTCTTGTTCCACCTCCTTTGCAGCACTTAAAAAATTAGATTTGGTGAAAAATGTAATCATTTTAAAGACACTTAAAGCTGGAATTTTGGGGCAATCTGAATATTATTTTACTAATGTGACAAATGGGTCTGGGGCCCAAGAAAATGACCACAGAGTCTATAGTATTTGAGCCAGGCTGTAAGTCCTGCTGACAATTTATTCTATTGAAATGGTTGCCATGCATTGTTCTGAGTGGTCAGAGCTGGACCTCATATTACTGCAC